AGGAAAGTAATCGTGAAAGTTATAAAAAATAATTGAAATAGCACCTTTTGGAACAAATGCCCAAAATGACCCCTAAATATGAATTTAAGCAAAAATCTTTGATGTGTCCTTCGATGACATATTTAAACCAACAATTTCCCAAAGTAGAATGAAAATCGGGAATTTACACTTGGCGGGGTTCCCTTGTCAGACGCCTCCCGGCCGATGAAACTGGCCCCTAAACGTTAAGACGCGGGTCTCAGCTTGCCCCCCCCCCCCCGCTTCTTAAAAGTTATCCAAGTACATGAAGTGTTGTGGTATGGCGATTTCTGATACTGAATTGTAATTGTGCATTCCCAAAGATCTGACTAAGAGGGGAATACCTGGAAGACGCTATGAGTCACTATGTTCGTCACTATACAAGTGTGAAATAAAAGTGAAAAGTTAATTAAGAGATTTCGGAGTTTAATTTAGAGAAACCACCCAAACCTGATCATAAAACGACATGTAGAACTTAAGTCCAGACGCTCCACCCAGCAGGATGAAGTGAAACGTTGGTTCTGATATCAGCCGCTCGCAACTATACTATCAGCTGGTCAGCAGAGCTCTGCAAAATCGACTTGCTGATTGGCGTCCCTGCCGCCTCGGATGTAGGCAACCCAACAAGCTTTTCCCCCTCTCTCACACAGTCCCGCGGTCTGCGCTGACCGAGCCGGTCTGGCGCGGTCGGTCTCGTAGAAGCTATATTCAATTAAGATCCACGCTTAGCGCACGCTCGGCGCAGCGCACGCTCCTGCAAGCGTGCGAGGGCAAGAGGGGAGGCGGGGGGCAGGGTGAAAAGAGGTGAAGAGTCACCGTCGCCTCCCCGCACCCCGCCCCTCGCCTGCTGCCCACGCGCTCCGCCAAGCGTGCGCCACGCTTGCGGTGCGTCAAGCGTTGGCTTAATTGAATATAGCTGGAGTGATTTTGCAGAGCTCTGCTGGTCAGCCGCACCTAGCCGCACCCAGTCCCAGTCTAACGCAGTCTCACTTTAAGCTCTGTGGATGCAGCACGCGGATGTCGAGCCTATTCGCATTCGCACTGTCAGTTGATGTGTAAAAACTAAACAATGCCTACGAAGTAAGACAAACAGCTCTGACAGCTCATTATCATCGTGAAGGTAAGTAGTAACAACGAGGGGCCACCACTTCGATTTAGGATGTACACGGATTACGTGATTACAGGGATTACACGTGAATTGTTTGGGATTACACATGAATTTTGTTGAATTTCTGGGGCTAAAACCATTAAATTTGGACAGTAAGGTAAAATTAGGTGACAATTTTTCAAAATTTGGTTAAGAATTACACGGATGACATAGGGATTTCACTTCCATCTGTACCGGGTGTAACTGTGAATACGCAGCAGTGTTGAGGGATTGCGTACTCAATATGGCCGCAGGGGCCATGCCCCCTTACGGGTGTAAAGAGTAGGTAAACCCGCAACAGTGCTTCGTATTCACAGTTACCCGGTACACAGGATTACGTGAGTGGTGGACCTCGTTATAAAGTAGCAGTTTTTCGAAAAAGCAGGTAACGCTCTCGCGCACATGGGTACTTTAGGCTTAGGATTGATTTTTTAGAACGGGAGCATCCTGGATTATGCCACACATTGTAGGTGTAAGGAACAATTATCGGGCCACTTACGCAACCTCCTGCACTTTGCACGACCTTGAGCGCGCCATTGCACCCGTCATTGCAATTCACGGCCTGCGCGGCGACTGTACTAACTGCTATGCCGTGAGTCAACGCCCCAACACAACATGCGCTATGGACCCTAGGGTATACAAACCGCAACACTTTTGTTTCGTAGCTCTGGACACACGGTACAGTACCCTGATAAACTAAGTGTGCAACTGCAAGTTAAATACTTGCTAGTATTTAATTCAGTTGAAGTACACTTGCAAGTGTTCAATTCAGTAGAAGAACTCTTGCAAGTGTGCAACTGTCTTGTTGCACACTTCACTAGATTGGAAGCTTTCGGTGAGGGAAGTGTTCAACAGAAGGAGTGCTCAACACTTGCAAGTGTACTACCACTGAGTTGGACACTTCAAAGTGTTCAACTTGAGGTTGCACCCTTACAAGTGTTGAGCAGTTTCACACTTGGTTTATCAGTAGTGGGCATTCACGCTGTACAAACAGTGTGCATAAGGCTTGCACATTGTACGAACAGTGCTCCGCCAATCTTAGTGTGTAGTAGTTATTGCCAGTTTAAACTGTAGAACTAAAAGTTTGCCAGTTGTAACTTCAGAACTAAAAGTTTGCCAGTTTTTACTGTAGAACTCTTTAGTTCACTGAAAATGCCAGAGTCAGATATCTCACTCTCAGGAGAGTGAGATCAGTTACACAAAAAATCTTTCTCTCCTGAGAGCGAGATATCTGACTCTCACTCAATTTGAGTCATAATTTGCGGTCCTCACCCGATGAGAGTGAGGTTCCTCACTGCAATTGGGCGAGGTCAGGGAAATCTCACTCCTCCAGAGTGAGAATTCGGTACATATGACTCAAATAGGGTGAGCCTTATAGTCATCGCTCTGATTGAGCGAGGCAAAATTGTCTCACTCATTTCGAGCACGACACCTCACTCAAAGATTGTCAGTGTTTGCCAGTTCTAACTGCAGAACTCTTTAGTTTGCCTGTTCTTAATGCAGAACTCTTTAGTTCTACACCAACTACTGCATAACAGTTTGCTGGATGGCAAACTTTTAGTTCTACAGTTTAAACTGGCAAACTGCTACACACTAAGATTTGCAGAGTGTGCATGGCATGCACACAATTGCTCTGAAAACTGAACAGTTGGCATTTGTATTTTCCTTTTAGACGCATGACTTTCGAAATTGGATGACATTTTCAGTTCCTCGACAAAAGAAATTTCAAACAAACTACGACGTGATCCCTGGAAATTGACCACTACTGTAACTTGTTTTACGTCTCCGAAATATTCGAAAGAATTTCGGTATAGGTCAATTTGAACCGCATCTCACTTGGAAGCTCGTTTGAAAGCTTATTTTTTCACGAGGGATTGGAAATGACACCCACATTCCAAAGTTACGCGTCTGATAGGAAATAGTGACCATCTAATCTGTTTTAGAGCAATGTGTGCATCACGCCCACTGTACAGCGTGCATGCCACTCTGGAAACACAAGTGGGTACTTGAATGCAGAATATTCTCCATACCTACATCTATGCAGAATATTCTGTGTACTTGGCAAGTACACAGAATATTGTGTGTACTCGGTCAAGTACACTCTAAGTCTCCTGCATAAATGTATGGAGGTTTTAGTGTGTACTTGATCAAGTACACACTATCTCCCTCGCTATCTCCTGCTTACTTGACCAAGTACACACAATATTCTGTGTACTTGCCAAGTACACAGAATATTCTGCATACATGTAGTTATGCGGAATATTTTGCATTCAAGTACACACTTGGGTTTCGAGAGTATGCACAGTGTGTGTACAGTATATGCATGTCATACTAACACTGTTGAGTTTTATATAATAGCATAGTAATATAAATAGCGTCGTTTTTTAAAAATCTTCTCAATATTTACAGAATGTGTTGTTTCAAAACCACTCTTGTGTTGCTATGAAAGTATACACCATTGGTGCTGTATATTAACAACATAAATTTTAATAGTGCACGCTCTTATGTTGCAGGTGATTTTTGAAAATGGCCCTTACAACTTCGCTCACGTCGGTGGTGGGAGCCACCACCCTCATTTCTGGTTGCTCACCGGGAGGCCAGGAAATGGCTGCCACGACCAACCCAGTGCCAAACTTTATCATTCCCACGTCGATTCTACCATTTCGACATCGTTTTGACGACGTTTTGATGTCGATTCAACTGCCATTTGTCATTGGGAACATAGTCGCGCCTGTAGTCGCCTTGATACTAGTGGCCGGCATTGCCGTGGTAGGTGCAATAGTAACTGTTTGCCGAGGCGTATTGTACGAGGGATGAATAACTCCCCTAAGTGTGCATCCCTAACTCTACCCAAGTAAAACTAATTCAAACCAATTTAATTTAATTCAACACAATTCAGAAGTAATTCAAAAACAATTCAATTAGTTCGGTCTAATTCAAGCAAATTTGCACTCCATTCTGGTCAATTCAAGCCAATTCAAGACAATTCACGCTAATTCAGTAAAATAAAATAGCAATATTTCAAACCAATTCAATAACAACTCTACCAATTTAGTCCAATTCAAATTCAGTTCAATTCAAATTCAGTTCAATTTAAATTCAATTCAAGCCAATTCAAATTCAAGTCACGAAAGTTGTACACCTTATTCAGGAGTTTCACTAGCAAATAAAATTGCTCAGTAACTGCTGAAGTTTCGTGCTGTTGTACCAGGTGGCTGATTCACGCCGCGCACTTTCGTAGTTATACTGTACCGCATACTGCCGTAGTATAACTACGAAAGTGCGCGGCGTGAATCAGCCACCTGGTATATTATCAAGAATTTCTGTAGTTTGTATTACTAAACTTTTTTCCGGCATTACTTTACGTTTCCCTAGTACCTTAACTATAATACTGAGAAAAAGGTGTTAGAAAATATAAACAAATTTACCCACGATTGTACTTACATAAACTGTTTCATCTGTTTGAACAGTATGGCGCTAGTGGCGATAGTCCGAAGGGGAGCGGTGGCCCTCCGAGAGGCAGCAGCAGCGGCAATGAGGGAGGCAGTAGCGGCAGTGGCCACAGCAGCAATGAAGAAGGCTGCAGCAGTCAGGGAAACGGCGCTGGCGAACAGGGAAGCAACGTCGACCAGGGTGACCAGGGTAACCCCGGCGACGGCGGGGAAAGAACCGTATACCCGAATCGGGAAGAATTAAAGAGAGCAAGAGACGCTTGGAGGGAGTACCTTCAAGGTGGCTGCACAAATCATGCGCTAGCGCGTAGTCTCATCAACAGAGAGTACGAGCCCCTAAAGCCCCTGCCGAGAGACAACTGCGGGGTAGTTGACTGCACCAACGCCGAGCACCTGGAATGCCTCAGGTACTGGGCGGAAGTGAAGTTCTTCGGCATTCGCACCCCGCGGGTGCGCACGCTCATGGCCAAGATTGTCGCGCACCGCTTCAGAAAGGGAGAGGACGACGACGAAGTGGACGCCATCGATCTGTCGGGGTGGAGCGCGAGGGAGAAGATCGCGGCGGAGAGGCTCTTCCAGGAGACGCTGATAGTCCTTGCTGGATCCTATAATGAGCCATTGGCCAAAACCTACACGGGTATTCCACCAGAAATTACGGATTCACCACAAGCACTAGGACCGACGGAGAAGTATATGGTCGGGGGTCCAACACGACAGAAAAAGAACAAGGCCGGTAAACTAAGAACCCGAGAGCCGGTAGAAGTCTGTTGCCGGCACCGCACTGAATTTCTCGATGCTCACTATCCCTGGCCCGGGCCCGGGCCCGGGCCGCGTGCGATGACTGCAGACGACCAGCAGCGTATGGGCCATTGCTATGTGGAAGACGTTGGAACATACGCATACCTTGCCCAAAACCTGGACAACGTTATGAGAAACGATATCGAGGACTTCCAGAAGGATAAAAGAACTCAGGACCAGGCTCTTTGGAACTCTTACATGCTTAATAGCCCAAGAAACGATGTCAGTAGACTTGACTATGCTAGGCGGCGATTGGTGGACTTAATCATTCAGTATGCCAAAACACACGAGCTCGACGACACTCCAGATGTGACAATGCAGGAGTACAGAAAAAAATTGTTTCGGATCTTTTACCATATTTTGGAGAATGAGCAGTCGCAATGGCACTCTGCCGCTTTTTTCCCGGGGACCTGGAAACTAGGAATGACTGTGTCATTTGCACGAATCATTCTCCTGTTCAGGGACGGTGATATATCCTCTCTTTTCGGTGAATTCCGAGTTTACTCGTACATAGGTATGAAGAACCACAATAAAGACGTGCAGGACAGTTGCAAGAAGATTGATGAGGTGTTTATGGAAAAGCAACGAGAGCTGGACGCTTACCAGGACTTGGAAACTGTTTATGGACCGGTAGCAGACTCAGACAATCACATGCCATCCACGTGGTAGTTGAAAATATTAACGCACCATCTTTTTCTTTGACTCTTAGTTTCTGACAAAGAGTGGTCTTCATATTACGAAGAATTGGGTCTGTAAACGTACAAAGGATCTGCAACCACCATATTACAAAGAGATTTTCTTCGTATTACAAAGAGCACAAGTTTGTGAACAGACGCGTGCTCGTCGTATTACAAAGCCGATCCCTTAGTGCTACAAAAAGATTTCTTTATTACAAAGGTTCCAAATTCTTCGTACGTTACGAAAAGCAGTTCTTTGTAAAAAACTTATAGGGTCTAACTTAAATTCAAATTTATGCACCATGTTGTTGTTTTGAGGGGGAGAAGGGGAAGATGTACCATTTTTTGATTATAGCGCCCAGTTTTGACAAAAAAATTAGCCCACGGGGCTGAGAAATAGACAGCCCCCTGATCAGGACACAAAGCCAATGCGCCCCTCTCCTCTTCCCTGCCGCCTGCTGCCCGAGAGGGGGGGGGGGGTGAGGAGTGTCAGCGCCTGGCCTTGCCCAAACACGCCAGCCAGCCACACCGGGAACGCAAGTGTGTGAATGTCGCACCCTTAAAGGTTTGTGAATATCCATTCGTACACTTAGGGTGTTGTGTATGCAATGTTGGCACACCTGCACACCTGTATTCATTTGTCAAAGTCTATATAAAGAATAATCTGAATGATAATAAACAAGTCTTCAGTGGAAATCTAGTGTGTCATCAGTTGCCCTCACACACTCTGCCTAACGGAACTAGTGATCAGATCGGACACGACATAGGGAAGGGGGTAAAAGTGTGAATTTTTCCTCGCGTTTTTCCTTGCGTTTCTAGCACAAACTCGTGCTATATACAGAGTGAGGAAGGAGAGTGGACTCTGCCCTCTGGTAGAAGCAGTCTTTAGGGGACTGTCTAAAAAACGTCCAGCGCTCCCAAACGTCGGTGAGAGATAGACATGAACGGACGAAATTTTCGCACAGTCGTCCTGCCGTGCCCGCCACTAAAAGAGCTATAAGGCCGCTCGCCAGGAGGCCATCAGATACAAATAATTTGTGTGTACGGGGGTGCAAGTTGTACCTAGGCTAGGTACAAATGCTTTATTTTCTATAACGTGTGCACAAGGACACATCTAGCCTATTAGAGTTAATAAATAAAGTGGTGGGACACCACTTCAATAATATAGATTCCGGTTTCAAGTTCAGCGTGCAAGTGACAGATTTATTCAGAGTGGGTTCAAGGTAAACAATACTGCACATCACACAGTACTGAACATCGAGTTCGAGATAACAGTGTGGGCAACCAATGACAGATTAACAAAATCTACAACATACCTACAAAAATTTCTTTTGCCATTTATAGTGTGCAGTCGGTAGCGACAGCGGTCCTGACACGCAAAGAAGCACCAAGCTACAGTGAAGAGTGTTGTTACTGGTTGTTATACTATATTTTATTGTCACTTGCTGTTCTATAACCGAATAAATCCAATGCAATACTCAACCCAGTCGTCTTTTCCACGACACAACTTTGCTACTTTAACAAATTACCCCTGAGCAGACTATCAACCACTTTTTAGCAGATGGTACCTTTTTGTAAGTACTCCTCGTACAACTGATCTGGGCTGGTTGCCAGGATTCGCACCAAGTGTTTCGGTGTCTAGGAGTGACCCTCGAGGTACCCTGAAAATACTCTAAAACGAACAGGCATACACTAGATCATTTGTATTAGCCCGCTTGGAAGCCTTTTCAAAGCAAAAGGGCGGGGCTAAAAACACGAAGAAAGTCAACATAGCCCACATTTCCGCCAACCAGTACAGTCCTGTTCAAAAGCAGCACCCTTGGTGGGGCGCAGGAGCGTCTCTCCGCCGACCTCGACCGGTTTTGCGAGCCGCAGAGCGTGGCGAGGCGCGTCCCAGGAACTTGGTCCACTAATGACTCTTGTTCCGAATCAATGATCCGCGGGAAAATCCTGGTAATTAATATCCTGGCCGGTAGGATTACCCCCCCCCCCCTCCGCCCTCCCGACCCAGATCCGCCAAGCCCAACAGTGTTTCGGTGTTCACGAGCAAAACCTCCGCCCTTGCCTTGCTGCCCAGTAGTGCCCGGTGGCCCGGTCCGGGTGGCTGTGGCCGTGCCGAGCGGACCTGGGCCGCGGTGTGGCGCCGACCGGGATGAGAGAGAGAGAGGGAGGGGGGCGGGGCATGGAAAAGAGAGAGAGAAAACGGGGGGGGCTAAACTAATTTTCCCTCCGTCTCGAAACTTTTTGACAAAGCCGTCGCGACGTCGCGAAGCAGCTCACAGTTAGCTCGCCTGCTCGCGCGCTGCGATGCTGAAGAGAAAATTACCTCCTCTCACTGTACTACTCTCGAAAATGGGTTCGAGTTCGTATTTGAAAACACGAACTGGGCGACGGCGGTGGTGAGCTGCACTGTGGGTTGGAGCGAGAGGGAACGAGAGAGAGGCGGATCCGAGACTTGGATGTTTGACCCTCTATTGATTCCGACTGAAGCGCGACCCCGCGTCGACACCCAGTGAAAATTACCGGGACATTATTCGTCAATTTAAACAAAACCAAAACCTTCAAACACGGTTTATGCCTTCGTGCAACACGACACGACGTTCACTATCTAAAAATATAAAAATACATTTCCTCTTCACTTCGATTACATTATAAATTTTGAAAAACTCACAATCGATCATTTTTTTTCCGGGAGGGAGACGGGGGTGGTGGAGGGCTCGGGAGCGTACCGCAGCGAACGCCACGACCAATTTGAGTCGCGCCCAAATTGAGTTTTAAGTGACTCACTTAAATAGCGCATTTAATGTATACGGCGGCTGCGGCTGGAGGATTTAAGGAAGACGGGGAGGAAGGGGGGGGGGCAAGGAGTTGCTCCGCGGGTACGAGTTCCGCTGCAGCAATAGTCACTCTGGTGTCGCAGGGCGGGGCGGCGGCGGGTCTGCGGCGAAGAGTGCCGGACGGACGGCGGGGCCCGGGGCCGGCGCAAGGGGCCGGCTGCCGTGGTGGCCACCGCCTCCACCTCGGCCTCCACAGTTGTGATGAATGTGCGCGGGGCATCCCCTATCCTTCATGCCGCTGAGCCGGACGTCCTACGCGTCCCGCGCGCCGGCCCGCCTCGAGGCCCGCCTCGCCCCAGGACGTGTGTGGCCGAGGGGGTGGAGGAACGGGGGCGTTCGATACCGGAACCGCGTCAGCGATTCAAACGCGTCGCCCGGCCGGACCGTACACTGCTGGTAAGAGGTAAGTAGTGGAGTCAGCGTAGTAGGGGTACGTCGCTGTACGTCACTTAATGGGTCCTAGTGAAAGCGAACACCTGAAAATATACAGATTTAGCCGTTGACTCAATTAGAAAAGAGTAAAAATCCGAAACATTATCATGTTCGTAAATACGTGCATGTGCATGATGATGAGAACTCGGATAAGACATCTTTAGAAATTCAGGACAAGGGGGATTCTTCGAGTCTTTCCAACGTTGCTTCGCGGCAGCCTTCCTCACTATCTAATGTAGTCTTTGTCCCTGTCAGCGACGTGGGCGTTCAGTAGACGAGCGAGGCAAGGTGGCGAGAAGACACATGAGGGCTCTAGCAGAGAACAGAGAGAGAGACCAGGGAGGGAGGAGGTGAGGGAGGAAAGAGGTTGGGGGGACGGGCTTGTTTTGCTACCACGGTGGGGGGGGGCGGACGCGGAGGTTAAAGTCAGCAGCAACCTGATGTGACGTGAATCGACGTGCGTGCACATAGCATTAAACAACGGGGCCACCACGCGGGGAACGGGGGAAGAGGGGCGAGGGTGGCAGGAGCACGGACGGAGCTCGAAAATCAGCAGGCGATTTGCATGGGCGCGCGGTTTGGGAAAGGAAAATAAAAAAAAATGACAAAGAGAAACAGCTGGATCGTAGGTTGGTCGTTTGCTTTATTTAAAAAAATAAAAAACACGCATTGCAAACGAACGAGCTACTGATGCCTTGATCGCGTATCTGCAGAGCGCTGCGGGCCGTCTAGGGGGACGGGGGAAAGGGGGGAAGAGTGGGGGTTGGTAGCGGATCAGGTTAGGGTAAGGCTGCCTGTTGTTGAATCGGAGCGGCTAGAGTAAGCACGCAGCCATAACCATCACAACATTATGCAGCACACGGGGTAAACAGTGCGGGCGGCGACCCCCCTACGGTGCCCCCTGCTGCCCCCTGCGGCTTCTCCCCACGGGGTCCGAGCCCCCGTCACCCCTATCACCCCACGGCCCGCGCCGCCCCGGCACGCCACGCGCCATCGACGGCGGGCACGGAGGGCCGGGTAAGAGCCAGTCAGTCGGGTATCACGGCGCCGACGTGCTGCTGGAGCCCTTCACTCTCCCCCCGACCCCCCGCTCCCTCCCTTCTCCCTCTTTCCCTCCCCTCCTCCTCTTTTTGCGGTCTCTCTATCCTTTCCCCACCCCCTGACCTGACTCCCTCCCACCACTCCATATTGAATTTGTTTCAAGTCGGGTGGTCGGCGGTCGGCGGTCTGTCCTGCGTGATTCTTTTAAAGACCCTGGTGGTGGGCGGCGGAGGAGCGAGGGAGTAAAAGAGGGAGGGGGGAGGTGAAATGCGGAAATAAAACAAACCCACAAAAAAAAAAAGTTAGGGGCGGCGGCGGCCGAATTGAAACTCATCAGCAGGCAGATTTCTCTGGCGCGTCGCTCGGATTGGATGGAGCTGGGGCGGGCTGGAGCTAGGGGAGGAGAAGGGGTGAGTCTGCGGCCGGGTGGGCAAGGGGGAGTCAAGTGGTCCTGCGCGCTGCCTGCAACCTGTCATGGGAGAGGCTTAGGTCCCGGAGCAGGTCCTCCCAGCAGGCCTGCTCGCCCTGCTCGCCCTGCTCGCCCTGCTCGCCCTGCTGGCCCTGCTCTGGCCCTATGCTGGCCTCGCTGCTCGCCCGCCGTCCCATCTCCGACAAACTGGTGTTTGCCGGCCAAAGAGTGTGCCATGTTTTTATCTCGGAGGTAATTTCACGCCTGTTGCGCACATCATGCAAAAGAAGGGAAAGAGGAGGGACGAGGAGATGGAGAGGAGGAAGAAGAGGAGGGAGGAGGGAGG